TCTACATAAAATTTAAATTAGCTGCTCTGGTGTACATCATGCAATCATGTTATTATACCACATTCATTTTTCACATATCTTGTAAATGTTGAAAATGGTGAAACTTTAGAATTTCTCTTTTCTATTTTACTGTTGAGGGGAAATGAGTGGCGACTGCTGGTGATCAACCTCAAATTTTAGCACTGTATATAGTGCATAAGGGTTTCCTAGTCATAGACTGTGAAGTTATTTGAAGCGAATCTAACCTCGCATCCATGTCTCCACATGTGGTTAGTTCACAATATGCATTCTTCCAACTTTTCTCTTTCACTTGCTGTTCGCATCAATATATTTTCTTTTTTCATCTCTGGAGGCTATTTGCCACGCTTCATTGCCCTATCGGCGTGAAATATTGTATTTGTATAACCAGTGTCGATCAACATACTGCATGTCTTTCCATCAATATACTCGTTGTCTCGTAGACTAGTTTCTTTAAATAATGAGCTTATTATCGTATTCGGGGCGGAGGAAGTATTCTCAGCTGAACTTTGATCCGTAAGTGCAGCTAATTCTTTTTGTTTTATATCTGATTAGCTCTTTGTTGTCCTTTCGATCTGGTTGAGCAATGAGACTCATCCTTAGTGTATTCTTCTTGCATGATAAACAATTGTTGATTCTTCATACTTTTAGTTTTAATGGCCATGATTTCTATATCCATTTTTCCACATCCTTTGGGGGGAGTTTTTATTCCTTACAGGCTCTTGTCTGCAGTTCCTGATAATATGTTTTTTCTTCAAATTACACTAATAAACACTTTTTACCTTGTAATTTATTTCCTATATTATGTGTAAATAATTATTTGACTACACCTTTCAATTCTTCTAGACTATCGACTGGTAGAGTTGATATTTCAACACTATTTGATCTGATGATGCCGTAAATTCTAGATGGTGTCTTTCGTTGTTTATGTGTAACTTTAATGGATTCAACTTCCCTCACCAACTGGAAAGCTTCCTTTATACATATACACCTATATTGCTTCAGCTTAATTCTCATATACTCATCTGTTATGGCATCTATATTGATAATGTGTTAACTAATCCATTACTTAATTTGGAGCATCTTGATAATACAACTGGGCAAGCCTTACCAAATCTTCCACTATTTCAGGTCTTTTATTTCCTCCGTATCCGCCCCCCCCCCCCAGTGACACAGCAGTATGTCTGCGGACTTACAATGCTAGAATCCGGGTTTCGATACTCGTGGTGGGCAGAGCCCAGATAACCCATTGTGTTGCTTTGTGCTTAACTTCAAACAAACTGCCCTCCGTATCTGCTTTTTACTTTGTTTTGGATACTTCCCTCTAGTGTATCACTCAGGACCTATTAGATAAAGCTGCTACCAGTTTTTGATAGTTCATTACCTCTCTCTCAGCTGGAAGGTTGGTTAATGTCATTAAAGCTTATTCTCTTAAATGAGCAGCAAGATAAATATCTTGTTGTCGACTATTCCACTCTGGAAATTATTTCGAACTGGGCATGATACGCTTTGTATGTTACTTTTTTTTTATAGTCCATTGACTACTTGATTGGGTGATGTTGCTGAACTAACCAGTTAAATTAAGGAACTGGATTTTGTAGTTACAGGAAACTACTGAAGCCATAGGCACAGCAGTAATGGTAACAAGTGTAGACCAAAAAGGTTCTCCTATTCCATGTTTTTTAATAGATGGTGTTTTAAGTTGGAATTCATAAGCAGACGCAGAAAGAGATGTAGCTGGTTTGATCTTTGCATTTACCTATTCATTTTTCAAATGTCTTTTCCTGTTTTTGATATTCTTTTCTACATCATATGTTTCTTCTTCAACTTTGTTATTACAGTCTTTCTGCACATTATAGATGTCCTTTTGTACTTTGATTTTGACTTCCTTGATGTCCTTTTATGCTTCTTCAATCTTATTTTCTAATCTATCTGTACATCTCCAATAACTTTGTTGATCTCGTCTTCAATCATATTTATTTTTATTCTTTTTTTTTAATATTATGAGACTGTCTATTAACCCCTTTCTTAAATTCTAGTCTATTTCTCCTTCTTTTAATATTCTGTCTTTTTCTGTTCATTTTTCTTTCCACTCTTTCATCATCTCCAGCAAATATTTAATCTCACTTTGTGCAATTGTTGTCATTTTGAATTTATTCAAAGTTCTATTTTAGTTTCACCAAAAGAAGACCACTTCTGACCCAAGTGTTTTAACGTATTCTCTTGTTTTGCAGCTTTTTATTATTTAGTAAAAATACTGTAATGTTCAGTCGACGTAATGATAACGAATCAATTACTTTTTCCAATAACTTTTGCTACAGGCTAAGTTCACTGGTAGGCCTAACTTCTCAAACAATGTTTGTCAACTGTTTTGTGTGTTTCGGTTAGGCCTGTATTGTTTAGTCAAAATAAAATAAAACATAACATCTCTTTAAATTATGCCAAAATAATATTTTATAATACTTAATAACTTATCATATTAGATAATTTAATTTTATCTCATTTTGTAAAACTATTATTGTCTCATTTGATATTTTGAGGTAAAGTTAATTTGCGATCGAGTGTCAGATAGGTTCATTTTAACAGAAGGATTGAACAAGAAATCTGAGAAGTAATCTGTGTTTAAAAACGCGTGGGAGAAAATGAAAAGACTGGAAAAGTTTAAGAGAAAATGAACACAATCTTTATTTAAATCAAACAAAAGAAAAACACCTGGTGACTACTTGCACAAAAAGTGGACAATCATTTTTACCATATTTTTAAATGAATCTCTAGCAGATTAGTCATGATCAAAAACCAGATAGAACTAAGAAATAATAAATGGTTTGATTCTGCAAGAAAGCTCGTTTTTTGTTTGTTTGTTTGTTTTTTCTGTTGCGAGGGTGTCATCTGTCTCTTGTTCTCGCACAGAATTCGCTGTCTGTAACATACACTCGGCCAGCAAAGAACGTTGCAGTCGTTGACTCTTTTAACACTTAAGAGGAGTATATCATAACATCCACTCTGGCAGAGTAGATACTATCCTGCTATAGAGATAAAAAAAAAAAGAAGCAAATTTCGAAGGTTTTTCTGGACCATGTTTTTATTATAAAACTGTATAGAAACTAAATAAATGAAACACTTTTTTAAAATTCCTATATTACTAAAAACAAGTGGAAACCTATGATATGCCGGCTATTCACACTCGTACAAACTTTATAAACAAATAATTTATCGACCTTTTCCTCTTGATGCATTATCTATTTTTGTTATAATGTTCTGAGATATTACCATCTACCTTATTCAATTCCACAACCTGAAAATTTAAAATAGGCAATTACATATTAAGAAGACCAGGTTTACAAACATTCTGTGTTTGTATCAAATCAGTACGAGGAGAATGTCTCAAACCATTTTAGAGTAATAAAAAGATAATTTATAATCTAATGTGAAATAATATCGTAAAGTAAAAAGTAAACTCCTCATACTCAGATTTATTTTACTCTCAAATAATATTTTTAGCAAAATGAGAAATAAAAATAAGTCATATATTTTACTTTAATCTTTTTAAATCGTCGAAAAATACAAAATTTCTAGTTTTGTTGCTTTGCTAATATTAGAGAAGCAAATGCTGAAATTTCTAACTGCTGTCGGATAATTTAAGAGACTGGTTTAAAATGACCTCGAACCACCAAGGAAAGGTTCCAGCTCCAATATATGAAAATATATATTGTTACGTCTCCGTTTGTTAATTAACTTTCCGTAACTTCGTTCCGACGAAATTTTAGCGACACAAGTCCTTACTTAATAAAACTGGTTTATTCTTTCTGAATATAACTTTACCGATACACTTATTTTCAACAGTCGCTCTGTAACAAACGTTTTAACAACGAACGTTAACTTCAACAATACTTCTGGCTGCAGTTCAATTACTCACTACCAACACACATTCTCCCCCCGTCACGTTGTCACCCTCTTTTATATACCAAACGTATATATTCGCCAAGGTACCGGATAGTTCTAGAAACGTGGTGTGACACTAGTCATGTGACCTCGCTGACGCAACAATATGTTTATATATAAAGTGAAAACATTAATTCAAAATTTACGTCATTAATTCATATTTTGATTTTAATAAAGTACTCGCTATTAAACATTTGGTCATGAAAGTTAAATTATTTTGATTTAATAATATATATGTGATGATCTGTTCTTATCAGAGATCTATGCAACACATATCTGGGCTGCTGGAAACTAATATTATTCGATGACTAATTCTGTTTTAATTTTTGGATTGAATAATTTTATCACCTTATTTTTGCCAACATACGTCTCAAATATCATATGATTCTTGCAGATAATCTATTTTCGGCATTTCCATTTGTTTTTCAAGCACAAAGCTACATAATGGACTAACTACACTTTGCCCATTGCTGGTATCAAACCACAATATTTGGTGTTATAAGCCTCAAACTTACCGCTGAGCTACCAACAAGACTCTTTATCTCTATCATAAAACAAGCCTTATACTTTTGAAGTATAATACTAACTTCACATTTGAACAAACCTATTAGTATTAATTAATAGTGATTTAAAAAATTACCATGGTTTTTAAAACGATAATACCGATTTTATATAAAAACAACAAAATTAAAACAATTAAATTATTTCTTTTGTTTTCCCGTAACTTATACTATCATCGTGTTTTAGCGGTGGTTGTTTGTACGCCAATAACTATCCTTTGAAGTAGTTCAACCTGAATCTTACTATTATAATTTTTATAATAAAATTTAAGACTTTTTTATTTGAACATTGATTTTACAAACCACCACTCAACAACAGCCTAATTACATGCCCAGTCTGTAGCTGGACTTGAAGTTTTCAGGCTAGTTTAATATACGCATGCGCTTCACTTTCTTTTCATAAGATGGCGTTAGTAAATCGTGTAATGTTTTGCCCGGTAAGAGTATTGTTTCAATTAATTGTTCGAGTAAAGGACAATTTGAATAAAATATGATCTGTATAATTTAAATAAAACTAAATTGTATTAACCTATATATGTTTATGTAGAAGCTTTCCGAGTCAAGGTAAATATGGAAAGCCAAGTGATCTTATGTAATACTAATAGTTCTACTCTTAATTAATTGTTTGTTATTTACACTACAGATTACACGTTTCACTTTGCCGTGGCACTTGTTTTGTTATCAGCCGGAAGTCTTTCACATCTGGCAATCGCAACATATTGATAAAGGATTAACATAATTTTAGAATAAAACATTAATGTTGAGTGATTTAGCTGTGGCTAAATTATTTACTAATTCCGGAATATAATTATTAATATTCGAAAATACATGTTTTTTTATTACTTTGAAAAAATATCCTTAAAACTTACAAGTTATAATTAATATGAATTATTATGACAATGATATAGTGATAATGATAACAGATAAGAGTACTTACTACACGCTTGTGTACTTCCATATAGTTATAAAAATTATAATTACTGACTGCTCTGTAGTGTAACCAGTTTTTATATAATATAATAAAATCACAGTATTGAATGCAATGTGGTTATGAGATTGAGTTGTTAAAACGATTGTGACTATCAGTAATTATTTAGTTAATCATTCAGCTTATTACTAAAATATAATGAAATCTAATGTACATAGATGTAACATATTAAATGTATACATTGAAAAGTGTACATAAAATCAAACCACTTTATTTTTTCACAACTTAATTTACTTATGAAAAGATCAGTATGTAAACATTCATGTCAAACAAACTATTAGATGTGGTACAGTTACACAACATTTTACTAATGTCCTGAAAAAGAATCATAGTTATTGTGTGAGAAATGGATAGAATAAAAATTCACTTCACACTAGTGGTCAGGGATCATATCTGTGACAACATACACAACATGCATTAGCATATTCAAGTCATTTTTATAAAGATTGGTTAACCCTCTGTATTATAATTATTAAAATATATATATATATCGAGGAAGAACTGTATGTGTTAATGTTTCAATTATAAAACTTAATGGATAAAAAATTAAAGTGAACTGGTTTGTTAGAAGTTATCCTGTCTTGTGGAATCTTAACTAAGAATATAACGAATTATTATTGAGCAAATTGGTGCTTAATTAATAATATAGTGGATTATTTTTTTAAAAAAACAGTGTGCAACTAAGAATATGGAAATATGCTGAAAAATATAATGTTGAACTTTAACTTTATGATAGAATCTGCTAACAGTTGTGTATATTAACCCTGATGAAGCTGTAAAAGTGAAACATTGGTTGAAATAAAAATATATTCTTATTTATTTATCTGGAGTGTAAAGGTCATTCTTTTAAACTTTTATCAAAATATGTAACTAAGACTAATGAGAATTGTTAATGAAAAGAACAATGCAAAACTAAGATAACAGAGAATTTCTGTTGAGCAATTCAATGTGCAACTAAAGAAATGGAGCATTTATGGGGGGAGGGAGCTGAATAAAATGCTGAACTTTAACTTTATAATTGAATCTGCTAACAGTATATAACAAGTTTTGTCCTTGGTTTTAATCTATGATATTATGTTTTTCAGGGAATGAAGGCTATGAGCCTTCAAGCCCAGTTCCGACTTCTTCACATTACTCCAACATGTACAGCTTTCACTAAGGTAAGTTGGGTATGTACAGTACATGTTAAACACACTTACATCTTTTTCATCTTCTGATCTGTCATAAAACTACAAGTTGACTTTTTTTTTTGTTTCTGAGCAGATCCCCCCCCCCCCCGACACACACACATTTTAATCTATTTGGAAATTAAGTTATGCTAATTTTGATCTAAACTGAAATTTTCAGTCTGTTTTTGTTCTGGTATTATGGAAAACAGTTGAATTCAAATATGCATGCTCTCTTAAAAGATTAAGATTTATGAAATATAAAATTCAGGAATATTTTTCCAAAGCAATTTTGTAATGCATGTAATCTTCTTAACTACTTACTGACTGTGTTCATATTTATTTGCTGTTTGTTCAATAAGGCAATTGGTTGTGAAATAAAGGAAAAAAGGCAATTTTCATTTTCTAAGATGTGGATCTTTTGATCACTCATTTTACATTTGTTTACCAGACTCTTCATATGATACGAGGCAATAATTTAGTACATTATGTGTTTTGCTGAACTTTAGAATGTATCCTTAAAAATATACTATATTCATTTATTTCCACTTCAATACACAATATTATTTTTTGTCTGTCTTTGAATAGGTATCAGACCTAAGGTCAATTAAAATTACAAGTACAACAACGTTGTTTATTAAAATTACAATGATATTTAGTTCAATTAAATTTATAGTTAAACTAGCAGATTAATGATGAATAAATACATGCTTTGGATCGTAGCATATATGCAATATGATTGTCTAGTGGGTCACTTACAACTGTATTTTGTCATTACATGTGTTATTTCAATAAGGAAAATTGCATTACATTTTTTTTTTAAGCAAAGGTGACTGACTGCAAAGTATTGTTGGCAAAATTATTTGCATTTCAATGCAATGGGTGCATCCAGCACAATAGAGCTCTCAGGTGTGTTAAGTAGCCACAGGGTTTTTTCTGCTGGATGCCACTGTTCTTTGTCATTTTAATGAGTGCAAGAAAAGATCGCTACCAAAGTGAGTGATTTTTGACAGTTGTCATTTCTATAAGAAGTGTCAAAAGGGACATATTTAAGTTCTATTGAAATCACTTTGTTCAACATGGTAAGATAAAATCATGCACATGTATAATGCCAACATGAAAAAAAAAATTAAAATATATAAACCTAACAACAACAAATATATACTAAAACATGTTCCTTTCCTCATGTTTTTTTTCAGTTCATGTTCCTGTCTTTGAAATATTTCTTTCAATCAGTTGATGGAAGAAGTCCCATGTTTTTGTAAAATTCTCTCACAAAAAGAAACATTTTTGTTCTTAATATGTTTTTTTCTCAGATTGGCCATCAGCACATATGAAAACTGATAGATTGATGTTGATATTTTCCTGTAATATACTCTTGAAAGAAGCATTATGATATATAATTGTTTTTTCTACAATTAACCTTTCAGGAGATACAGAGTGTGACAGGCATTTGACTATTATATGTATATAGATTATGCTGCAATAATTTCAATTGTATTAAGAATTAACAAACATCAACACACATCACATCTATACTTGTATTTATTTATTCTAAATAACCAAACAATAATCACATGTAGAATTACAAAAACAAACTGTGTAATTTTTATTTGTTCAAACAAATGGGAACACAAACCGTTATTTTCACTAACAATCTATCTGTCTATTGTATCTGAAGAACATAAGCTCCTCAAATCTGACATCTAAGAGATGTGCATCATATGACCCCTTTAATATACAAGCCAGCATGACACACTTTATTTTGGGGTTTTGGATATTGTGAACAGTGATGTTAATGAATAAGCATGTATAACTACTTCTCTACTAGACCATATGCCAACAGTCAGAAAGGGGTCAATTGATTAAGAAACCTCCAGGAATAATGCTATTTTAAATTTATTCTTAACTTCTAATATGGAAATAGTTGATAGGGTGGAGATTAGGGAATATCTGGGTGCAAGTGATGAATGCTCAGTTAGGTTTGATGTTTTGCTGAATATGGAGGAATAGGAATAATGAAATTTTGGTTCCAAATTTTAAAGGAATGAAACGGGAATTATCTGCTGTGAATTGGGCAACTTATTTAATTGGAGATACTGTTCAAATGTGGAAAATGTTAAAAATAAATTCTTAAATATCAAAGATAGGCTGCAAATAAAAAATCAGGTTGACTCGCAAAGGGTATAAAGGATTGACTGCAATGATAGGAGATTTGGAGGATTATAGAAGATCAAAAGGATTGGTCAAATAAGAAATTAGGAAATCAAAAACTATATGAAAAATGTTGGCTGAAAATGTAAAAATTAATAATAAAGATTTCTTCAAGTACATTAAGGGTAAGACAAATACTTAAGATGGGATTAGGGCTTCTGAGAGATGATAAATGAAAGTAAATATACGATGAATACAGGATGGTTAGGTTATGGAATTCAACTTTTTCCTCAATTTTTTACAAATGAAGATATAAGCAATATTCTTCATACTGAACAGTTGCTAGATGGAAACAAGATGATCACATTAATTCTAAGCTTATTAAGAAGAAACTGGAAAGTTTAAAGAATGATAAAGGTCCTGGACTAGGTAATATTTACCCAAGGGATTTAAAGAAGGTTGAGGATTGGACATGTGAGCCACTTTCTACTATTTTTTTCTAAGTTAGTGAATTGTGAGCAAATGCCAGAAGATTCAAAGTTGGCTAAAGATACTCCACTTTTCAAGTAAGGTAATAAAAATTGTCCCAGTAATTACAGGCTTATTAAGTCTTATATCAGTAGTGGAAATGTTTTTTGAAAGTCTGATGAAAAGTGCTTTGCAAAATTGTTTAACAAAGTTTAAAATTTTGTTAGATAGTCAGCATTGTCATTATGAGAAAATCTTACCTTACTATTCTTTAGACATTTGATAAAGACGTACTACTTATGTATATGAGAGTACGAGTGTGGATTTGCTGTATATGGGTTTCCAGAGTGTACAAGGTGTCTTATAAAAGGATTGTGAGGGAGAGGTTGGCTCATTGGATATAAAACTGGCTGGATGGAAGAAAGCAGAGGGTTGTTATAAGAAGAGTACAAGTGTGGATTTGCTGTATATGGGTTTCCAGAGTGTACAAGGTGTCTTATAAAAGGATTGTTAAAAGAGTTATCTCTGTATGTGTGAGGGAGAGGTTGGCTCATTGGATATAAAACTGGCTGGATGGAAGAAAGCAGAAGGTTGTTATAAATAGAGTTCGATAAAATGTGATTAATGTCACAAGTGGGTACCTCAGGGCTTAGTCTTAGGACCTTTGCTCATTTTGATTTACATCAATAACATAGATGGAGGAATGGTCAATAAATGACTTAAATTTGCTGATGATATTAGCATCTTGGATGTTGCTAGCTGTGAAGAGGATGCTACTGCTTTACAATAGGATTTAAATTATTTGGTGAGTTTGGCAAATAAATGGAAGATGGCTTTTAATTATAATAAATGCATGTGAGATATCACAATTTGAATTATGTTATATCATTTTGATAGGAATAACCTTAACAGCACTATAGAAAGTAAGGGTTTTGGTTGATCAGTCTTTTAAGCAATCCAAGCATTGTGCTGTTGCTAGTGGCAGGGCAAATACAATTTTAGTTTTATCTACAGAACTATTGAATACAAATGTAAAGAGGGTATAATTCCATTGAATAGATCATTGGCTAGGTCACTTTTGGAGTATTGTGTATAGTGTTGGACTTCTTACTTTAGAAAGGACATTAAATTGTTGGAAAGGTTTCAGAGGAGTGCTACTACGATGATACCTGTGATGGAAAGTTGTTATATGAGAATAGGTTAAGACCACTGAATTTGTTTTTTTTCTTAAAAAAAAAAAGAGTTACACGTGATCTAATTGGGATGTTTAAGATTGTTAAGGGAGTTGATAGTGTTGATGCATCACCTTTTTCATACTTAACAGTGTGAATTGTAAGACTAGAGGATGCAACTATAAATTTTGACAGGGTAAGAGTCATATTTAGCTAAGACAGTTTTATATTTCTAACAGGGTAGTTAGTCTATGGAGTGGGTTACCTTGAAATATGGTGGATACAGTAAACATATGGGAGTTTAAGGGAAAGCTTGAATGATATGGGCTGGCTTTGAATATTTTATTTTTAATTTAGAGATTATTATAGTCAACTGAATGACTTAGATGAACCAATATGTACCTTTTTTACTCTTAAATTATATGTAGTTAAGCTGGATTTTACACATGTAGCAAAGGCTGGAGGGATTGGCCAAGAAAGCTGATCACTTTGTCTGTGAGGATCTGTTGAAGTTGGTCAATAGTTCTCAGTCATTATACTGAGCAGTACCAAAGCAACTGACAAGTACTTGGTCATTTGCTGTATTGCCCTTGGCTTCTGCAGATGAGGAACTATTGGAGGGAAGGAAAACAAAAAGGTCAGAGAAGGATGTGGATGATAAGGAGGTTATAGTTGATTCCTTGACAAGGCATGTGAATAGAATAGTCTGTGGAGTAAGTAGGAAGAAAAGAATCAGATTATGTTACCCACGGGCACAGGTGGAGGATATAACTGACAGAAGATGAGATATAATATAGGGGACTAACAGAGATGCAGTTTTTATGTTGCATGTAGGGGCTAATGATGTAGGGAAAGGTAGGTCAGAGGAGCTAATTAATAAGTACAAAGGGTTGATAGTCATTTAAAGAAAAAGGCCATAACTTAATTTTTGTCAGGGATACTGCTCAGAATTAACTTTGGGGGATGAAGTTATAAGTTGGCTGGTTCGACTTGTGGGATCAGTTCAGTGGAAGAAGGGGGCTTTTTGGAATGGATGGCTTACATTTAAATAAGATAGAGGCTGGCTTGTTTGCAAGAGCTATTAACTCAGCTGTAAGGGAAGTTTTAAACTAGTACTAAACAGTGGTGGGGACCAGGATAAACTAAATGCAAAAAGAATAAGAGATAGTCGAAAGTTCAGCATAGGAAATGAGTATAGAAGTAGTTATAAGGATGGGCTTAATTGTTACTATTGTAATGCTAGAAGTATAAGAAATAAAATAGACTACTTTAGAGCACTGGTAGGAATGGAGGATTTTGATATAATGGGTATAATTGAAACATGGTTAAATGTAGATTATTTTGATGACAGAAATACAGGGTTATAGGCTATTTAATAGGGATATAGTGCTAAAGAGGGGGGGGGGAGTGGCTTTATATGCAAAATGTGAGTCACATCCTCACTCATAGACTCACCCTCTTCTTGCATAAATTTGCCAGTATTTTCTTCCCTTCAAATTGACAAAAATGGTAACACATATTCTTCAGTCATGCCAGAAAAACCAATCGCATCCTTCACATTAATGGGTAAGTGTTAAATTTAAAAGTATGAATTTTTGTTACTAGGTTTTTAATCATTTTAAAAAAATTAGATCTGGGTTTGTAATTTTAAAAATTAAACAAAAAGTGATAATCAAGCCTGAAATGTTTGAGAACCACTGTGTTTTTGAAGACTGATCAGATGTGGAAAATTTTTAATGATAAATTTTTAAATATTCAAGGTAAACATATTTCTTATAGAAAGAAAATGGTAGCTGCAAGTAAAAAAACTAGGTTGGCAGAGTATAAGAGATAAAATTAAAGAAAAGCATCATAAGTTTAAGAAATTGAAATTGTCTGGTATAACAGGAGATTTAGAAGATTATAGAAGATCTAGAAAGTTGGTGAAACAGGAAATTAGGACATCAAAAAGGATGAATGAGAAAAGGTTGGCTGAAAATGGAAAAATTAATAGTAAGGATTTCTTTAAATACATTAAGGGTAAATAAAATGTTAGGATGGGGGTGAGACCCTTGAGGGCTGGTAAAGGAAGGCTCTTTTCTGGTGATTATGAGATGGTGGGTTACTAAATTTTGCTTTTTCTTTATGTTTTACTAACAAAGATTTAAGCAGTATTCTACATATTGGACAGTTGATAGATGGAAACAAGATCGAACAAGAGGACTGCATTAATTCTGAGCTGGTTAAGGAAAAAATTGGGAAGTTTAAAAAAACGATAAGGCTACTGGGCCAGTTAATATTCCTCAAGGGTTTTAAAGGAGGTTAAAGATTGGATATATGAGCCACTTGCTATTATTTTTTGTCAATTCTTGAATAGTGGGCAGGTACCGGAGGATTGGAAGTTAGCTAATGTGATTTCACTTTTCAAGGGAGGTAATAAAAATTGTCCCAGTAATTATAATAGACCCATTAGTCTTACATCAGTTGTGGGAAGAGAATTGGAAAGGCTGATAAAAGATGCTTTGCAAAATCATTTAACAAAGTTTAAAATTATATTGGACAGTCAAAATGGTTTCATTTGGGAAAATCTTGCCTTCCAAATCTTTTGACATTCTTTGAAAAGGTTACTGCTTATGTAGATGAGGGTAAGGGTGTAGATTTGGTGTATCTGGATTTTCAGAGAGCATTTGACAAGGTGCCACATGAAAGGCTTGTAAAAACAATTATCTCTATGGGTGTGGGGGATAAGTTAGCAAATTGGATAGAAGAGTGGGTGGATGGAAGAAAGCAGAAGGTTGTTACAAATGGAGTTCAGTCAAACTGAATTAATGTCACAAGTGGGGTACCTCATTGCTCAGTCTTAGGACCTTTGATCCTTTTTATTTACATCACTGACATAGATGAAAGAATGGTCAATAATTTAATTAAATTTGCAGATGATATTAAAATCTTGGGTGTTACTAGCTGTGAAGAGGATGCTGTTGATTTACAAAAGGATTTAGATCATTTAATGAGTTGGGCAAATAAATGACAAATTTAGATGGGAATAACCTTAACGGTGTCATAAAAGAAAGAAATGTTGGTATAATAGTTGATCAGTATAATAGTTTCTAAAGCCATCCAAACAGTGTACTATTGCTAGTGGTAGAACAAATAGGATTTTAGGTTTTATTTACAGAAATATTGAAGAAAAGTGTAAAGAGGTTATAATTTCATTGTATAGGTCACTGCTTAGGCCACATTTGAAATATTGTATTCAGTCTTGGGCTCCTTATGTTAGGAAAGACATTGAATTGTTGGATGGGTTCAGAAAAGGGTCACTAGAATGGTGCCTGGGATGGAGGAGTTGTCATACGAGGAGAAGTTGCAATCTCTCAAATTGTTTTCTCTTGAAAAAAGAAGAGTTAGGTGGATCTGGTTGAGGTGTTTAAGATTGTAAAGGAATTGATAGTGCTGATGCATCATCTAAGGCTGCACTTGTGGATAATCCTGGACAGTCAGGAGAGAATTTAGATTCACTTTTTCTGGTATCTTCCTTTATTCTGTTGGGATCAGCTGCCTCCAGCTCCTTTTATTCATTTGGTAAATCGAGTGTGTGATGTTTTGGGTCTTTCCCCAGTTGCTTTTGAGACTGTGCCTTTCTTGAGGGTGAATACTTAGTTTTCCCTCCATCCTCTGATATTGCATGTTCATGCAGGGAGGTTTACTACTCATTTACATCAAGGAACAGCTATGCCTTGTCCACCATGTTTGTTGGAAAAACATGCTTTAGCCTACCATCGCTCCTGGAAATTTGGAGCTCCAAAACCTGAATAGAACACAGTTTCTAGGATTTGTCTGACCGTAACTGTGGTATTAAGATAGTTATCATCCCTCGGAAGCCTCTCAGCAATCACCACATCAAGTTGAAACCATTGTTAGCATCTATCTTGGGTCAATTGTCAGTTTCTACACTTTTGCTAGTCTCTTGGTTAGTATGATGTCCAGATTTATTGGGTAGAGAGGCATTGTTGGAGGGTGTTCATCTACTGGCTGCCACCCTCTGTAAATTACTTGAGGCCCCCTTTCTCCAACCCTTATTTTTGTGACCATTCCAAAATGTATGGAAACAAGGGTTAATGTCATCTGTATTCATTCATCCCTGTCAACTTTCCTCGGCTCCTACAGGAGGTCATAGTTCCACCCATATTTGAGTGTCCTGACCCCCAACATCAGCCCCTCTATACATCGTACCCAGAATAGATTCCGTCCATATCTACAGTCAGAACAGTGGTAACTACCATATGCCTTTGGGGTCTGTGGGGGCTTGGCTCTGAAAATTGCTGGACATGTGGAAAACCTACAGGTCCTTGCTTTAGGATTAGTCATTCATTTCATATCTTCATTACTGTTATCCACCAAACCTGTAGTGTTTCCACCTGCAGATCCTTGGATTTTAGAACTTTGTTCCAGGGCTACCAGAGATTTGTTGGTCAAGGGGCAGTGCAGAGAGTTGTCCTAGTTCTTCCAGGGTTTTATTCCCACATGTTTGCTATGCCCAAGAAGACAGGAGATTAATGTCCAGTCATTGATCTTTCTCATGTAACTCAATTCCGAGATCTTCCATGGTTCATGATGGAGTCATTCATCACTCTGCATTGGCATTTTTTTACCAGGATTGTGGATGCCCATGTTCTATGTCGCTTATGCCTATCTGCATGGTGCCTTAATGGAGTCATCCTGCTACTATCTGAAGGGTCAGATGCTGCAGTTCAGGGCTCTGCCTTTCGGACTAGCATCGGCACCATATGTGTTCTGCTGAATCTTATGAGCTTTATATATATATATATATATATAAACAAAAGAAGAACAAAAATGCAGTTTGCCCCTCCAATTAAGACATTTCTCCTTTCCCCCTATCTTCTGGTTTTTGGGGCTTGGGTATTGGTCGGAGATGGTTCAGTCATGTATTTGGCTGCTATTTGGACTGGAGATAAACACCTACTTTGGCTCTCCTCCTTCCTATCACCTGCTGAATGTTTGTTCCTGGTGGATCTGGTATTGGTTATGTTGGAGATGTGCACATGAAGAAATGGGTTATTGGTGTGGGAGCTCCTCTTCTCTGCTGGTATTCATTTTTGAGGTGAAAAGTAGAGGACCTGATGTGCAATTCCAGATTTTGTCAGGTGTTGGTTGAGGTTGAACTCCCATTTATGGTCTTTTGCACACTAGCCACTCTACACCAGGGCCTTATTGTTTCTGTATTTTTTTTTTGGTACCCCTCCAAGTTATGGCTCTTTAAATTTTGGCAACACATTACTAAAAGATGAAAGAGTATACCTGGCTCAGAAGTGGTGCAGTCTCCCACTAGGGTGTTGTTTCTCATTCCTTATCACACCTCATGGTATTCCTTTGGGCACTTCCTAAAGAAGGGTTGTCTTCTCACCCCACTCCACCAGTTCAGTGGGGGATTCCAGCTTTTTGTGAGAGGAGGTAAGATATTATATTGGAAGATAGCATTTTTCTAAACTGAAAATGTATTTCCAATAGATACTTATCTCCATTCACACGTGAATTGGTTTGGTTAGTTATGACCAATCTTGAAGTGATTAACATGTGCATGATTATAGAGAGTGCTAGTTACGATAGAGGTAGTGTTGCACTTCTATTGGTGGAGGGTTGCTACATGATCATTTGCATGTGAGTATGCAGTAATAAGTGGGAGTAACAAGGCTAGTGGTGAGCAAAAATTTGTGCCAATAGAGGCCAGTATAAGTCAAAAAAGCTTTTTGTGAGAGGGGTAAGTATGTATCAGAAATACATTTCAGTTTAGAAAAAATGTCAGCTTTAATTCAATAGTTTTTAAATTAATACATCTACAAGTAATTCATACATTTCATTACTAAGTCTGTATAATGTTCTGTTCTTTGATGTAGTGATTATTACTTTAAAACAATATTATTTTTTCTTATAAATACCAAGTAAACATTAAGGTACTTTTGTAACTTTTCAGGTTGCTATGAGTAAATTTGATAAAGAACATTTTATTCCATATGAAAGACTAGCCAAAAATCTAGATATTGTCAAAAGCAGGTTAGTAGCTGTTTCTTAACATTTTTAACCTTGTTACCTTCCCTAAATTATTCTAGAAAAAAAAAGATCATATAATCTGCTTTTTATTTAAAGGAAAGAACACATCTATAAAACACCTAATATTTCATCATAGCCAAATATTATATTTTTTTTATTTTTAAATCAGTTATATTTACCACTGGAATACTGAAAGCCTTTCCCTGTGGAGTGTGCTCTCATTCTATCAACAATCATGTGACTTTTTAATATTCCTGACAGAATGCAAAACATGTGTCAACTTAACCAGAGATCTCCTTTCTCCTACCTCTCATATGACTTATTGTACATGTGTCAAGATAATGTTAATTATCTCTGCTCTCTTGCCATCATCTAGATTTTCTTGTTGACATTTGTGTGCTCAATATTCTCATTAATTCCAAGGTCAACATTTTATGCTGCAATTATTTTTATCAGTATCAGAAATTCTACAAATTCTTTAGAGGATTTGCTCACAGTTTAGTATGCATGGAGATCCTGTGGCTGCATTGTTGGCCCTTTTCAATCAAAATATTCAGACTATTAATTTCAAAGTATCTGCTGGTGTCCGTGACATACATACATCACTTATGAGGCTCTTCCACTCCATTCATATCTTCTGTGAATCCACTCCATTTACTTTTACTCTGATTCTGAATTAAAAAGAAAATTGCTTGTGTACATCTTTCATTTGTTGTGGTCTGGAGTGTTTAAATATCTTCCTGCCTAGGAGCCTAGTTTTAGGTAAGTCAGTGTTCCTTATGATACTCCGTGGATTCTTCTTCCACCTCTGTATGGATATTCTGGCTTATAGTATTTCAGAAGTTAGTCTATCCAATTTGAATTTTACCTTTTTTTTAGAATTGAAACTTATTTCAAACAGGTACTTACCTCTGAAATATATTCTCACTCACCTCCCCACAAAGGGGGAAATATGTGGATTTTCATCATAACTAAAACAAAGAAATCTAGATTATGTTGAGAAATCAGAGCTTATTTACATTCTCTTGACACAAGTGCAACAAGTCATGTGGAATGTGGGAGAATGGAGAACTTTGGATAAGTTGATGCATGCTATAAATTGTGTCAAAAATACTTAGAAGATGATTGCTAAAAGCATGAGAGGTAAATACCTGTTAAAATTCATTTTAATTCAAAACATTTCAAGTTTTAAGATATAAATTGAAAAATCTTCTGATAGATAATTCATTTCAACTCATAATTTACATTTTACAATTATATATTTTAACTATCGTAATATGTTAAATTTCAAAAATACTTATTCTTTCCAGACAGACCAATTTCAGTTTTACACACACATGATTTAATTTGTAATCCTCTTTTTAAATTTTAGGATAGTTTTATAGCATGTGTGTATATGTATATTTTTCTTTTAAAAAAAGAATTAGCTTTTTTACTTGTATGTTGGGAATAATACAATGAAAGCATAAAATATAATACTAATTCAGTATGTGACATTATTTTGTAAAGTGAAATTTAAATAATGAAAAGGTCTCTGGAAGTAAAAGATATGTATGTTTAATTGTTTGAATAAAACAGTTTTATTGATATACAATTGTAATATTTTAAGGATATGTAAATTGTCAATTCTAATTAATTTTATTAGTTTTTCAAATTTATATTTTATATTATTGCAATAGTAAGAAAATTGAAAGAATCATTGTGTTTAATTCATGTGATAGCAAAAATCCTAATTATTTTGCTTATGTAGGCTTAAAAGGCCACTGACTCTATCAGAAAAAGTTCTCTATTCTCATCTTGACCAGCCAGAAATGCAAGACATTAAGAAAGGAGAAAGCTACTTAAGGTTACGACCTGACAGGGTAGCTATGCAAGATGCTACTGCTCAGGTAAGATACTGAACTGAAAAATTGTATACTTCTAGCACCTTTTATTTAAAAAACTATAGTTATCTTTTCATAAAATTGAACTGTGAAATAATTAATTCAATTTATTGTGCTTAATATTTTGTATTCTTTAACTTGATATGCTTAAAAGTCTGAATAGATGCTGAATGCTGTGAAGTTGCTTTTAGAACTTGTTAAAACATTAGCTAAAAAACTGGATTGTAGGTATATCTCAAAATTAACAATAACCCAAGTTACTTGAAAATCTTCTGATGTTTCACCCAAACTCACAAAATTTAGCTGTTCCATTACTTGTAAAATTTTAATGTAGTTTCGGGTATTGGGAATTTTTTTGAGTTGTGTTTTAAGTATATGTTGGCAAATGGTCCAAACATGGTGTTGTGATGAAATGTGTTTGTGCACTTTATTTTCAAGTGCATTGATTCTTGATAAAATTGGTTAATTTACTTGTAATATAATATAATATTTTTCTAATTGGACAACAGAGCTCTAGATAAGATTTTAGGTTAATGAGTATTTACTCCCTGAAATCCAACTCAATGCTGAAAAGCAAAATTTCAATGAGTATATAAAACAATCCACCTTTTCTCTCCTTAATGTACAAATTCTTCTTACATGTTATAAAGCCCAAGGCTTAGGCTTTATAATATGTAAATATCTTAATGAGAAAGAAAGGTACATGTGCAAATCATTATCTTGACACTGCTTTGCCACATAGAGGTAGTCTTCTGTCTAAAGGTAAAAAAAAAAGCTGTTCTTTCTTAAAGTACTCCCCTGCAATCCTATATCACAAAACTGGTCTGTGTAGTTTGACTAGAGTGCTCAAAATCTGATATGACTAGCTTAAGTCTTTACATCACAGCTGAATGAATATAAATAACTGAGCTTATAACTGACTAATATCTTTGCACTTATTGTGTCAAAGTCTTCTACAGCTCTGCCTCTGCTAAATAATTTACCCTGAACTGTGACTAGATTTAAAAGATTCCAGTGCTTCCTGTGCATGATTACCAAGAACTTTAACTGTTTGACTTCAAAAATGTTCACATATTTACATTTTAAACTGCACAAGCGTTTATAACATATTTACATGTTAAACTAATATATTGTACTTGTACTTTTTGTAACCCATACCCTGACTGCTCTAACTGGATCATAATTTGATAACTGAATATTACTCATTTGAATATTCAAAAGACTGTCTAGAGTTTCTGCTTTCATTGAACATCTGTATTTGTTTTATTCTTTGGGAACTGAAACTCCTTTTGCACTCAACACTTGTAAGAATTATACATAGAGCTATTGTACACAGCTTTCCAAACTCAGGCATCATTTCTTTATGCAGTTGTATAGCCCTCTGGCACAGACTCTGAGTAGGTAAATGTTTGTATGAACCTTAAATCATACCTTTTAGCATGGGCCACTCTTGCTTGAGTTTTTCTTTGTCTAATAGTCTGCTGACTTGTTCTTGTTCTTCTCTTTGTTCATCCCCCCCCCCACCCCACCCCCCACCCCATTTCGGAGACTGCCATTTACTGTTTGGTCAGTTCCATATAACAGTGCAAGAGCTTCTTCACTCTTACCAGTACTTGCCAAATTTACCACCACTGGTTCCAGCAAGAGGCTAAAGTCTTTAAAAATCTCACTGTCTTCTTTTTTTGGATTTTTTTTTTTGATATTCTTTTTTAGACTTGACATGTATCTCTTTTTCAGGTCTGACAATTCATTTCCAGTGTTTTCAGAATACTTCATAAGTTTTTCTCCATTCATAAAAGCACTAGTTTTCCGTCTTCTCTAAATTCTATGGAGTCTCTCGTGCTCTTTTCAGCATTTCCATCTCCTGATTCTAGAAAATTTAACTAAATACCAAATTTTGTTTTTGTAACTGCTCACTAAGCATTGCAAAAAAATCATGAATATCTAGCATAAATGACACTAGCATCACAGTCTTATATTCTGTAAACTATTTGTGCAAACCATGAGCAGTAGCTATTTTTTTCTTCTGCAAAGTTTAAAAGGCTAACCAGAACTGAGTTATAACTCTCATACACAGCTTCCACAGCATTTTTAAGCCTAAGCCATCTTATGCTATGTGGCTCTTTTATTATAAGTTAGGCTCATCTAACAGTTTTTGAATACGATTGAGTTTTGAAGTATGGTTACTTGACCCACTCATGAAATAATACAAAAAGTTAAAATTGTCTCTAAATGTCTTGAGAGTGTCCAACGTTTTAATTGAATCTGTCACAGCTAAGTTTAGGCAATGGGCAATACATTGGGTTTGTGCTGCAAAGGGGGAGTACTTTGACTTCATCTGCACATCAACACCTGTTTTTTTACCAGTCATTGTTGATGCACCACCTGCTGCTAGAGAAACAATCTTAGCTGGGTCAAGTCTGAGGTTAGTGAGGCACTTTATAATGTGACTGACAATGGTATGAGCTTTCCATCCTCAGTGGCTACATTTGTTAAGAACTATGTTACTGTTTCACCATTCTTCACATACCTTATACATGCTGATAAATGTTTCTGTATTGATAAATCTGTGCTTTCATCTACCATTATTGCATATGACTCAGACTGAAAGATTTCTTCTATAAGTGACCTCTGAATAACTTATACATGAATGTATATCATTTATTGTTACATAGCTTAAATTCTTATATTTGATATTTGATTCATTCAAATTCTGTAACTCAAGTAAACTGTTGACTTTATCAGATGGCAACTCCTCCTTTGATACATAAAAGATTGTACAAAACAATTTACTATCATCATCTGATACAGAGATTGAATTACCTTCCTTGTCAACATCACTGTCATACATTTTACTCTTGTCCCCAGATTCCTTCAGTAAACCTTTTCTCGGCCTGATGGTGTTCTGAAGACAGCCCATGCCTCTCAATACTGTTCTTCTGAATATTAGGTGATCCCTCATTTGCCCATATGCTTCTTACTTTTCTCTCTATGCAAATGCTGCACTTCAGTCTCTTATTTACCCCTTCGCCAATCACCACTAACCATGAAAATGTTTTCTTCCAAGACTGAATTGTCTTTTCAGAAATGGTAGTTCCAGGTTGTTTCTCTGCTGTTTGATCGCCAAGTTCAGTGCAAAAAATGATGAGATCATTTACAATTTTGTGAATGATCTTTGCACTGTCTTCAGTTTTATCATCTTGATGGAAATATTTGTACAGTAAGCTCCTATTTGTTGCATAATTCTTCTTAAATCACCCTGGTCGCACACTAAACTGTTGATGAAACGACATTTTAGTCATTCATGTATCGTGAGTGCTTGATAAAGTCAGTAAAAATCAATAAGCTTTTGCCAACTTGGATTGCATCAGACCAACTGGTTCTGCTAAAATGTAAGCGATGTGTTGTATTTACCTGGATATTAGGAAACCAGTTGCACATGCTCAATTAGCTTACATAAATTTACAACGGATAAAGACAGTGAATTTGTACTGGCCAATTTTCAAAGCATTTTTGTATGCCTAAATCTGATTTTTAATGTTTTTTAAGGAAAAATATGTCTGAATGCACAGTATGCATCCTTATCTAGAGCTCTGTGACAAGTTAAACCTCAGTTTATTGTTTTTTGTTGCATATTGGCTGTTTTTTCTCATATATTAACAATATAACTTATTATTAATATTTCTTCTCCTAGATGGCTATGTTACAGTTTATCTCCAGTGGCCTTAAGAAGGTAATGTTAGTTTATTTTATTGTTTTCAAATGTTGAAGTTGTTGCCCAAAGTACTAAAACAAATAAAATAAATCTCACAAGGCCTGAGAATTGTAATTAAAATCACATCTGGCAACAAAGGTTTTCTACCATGTACAAACATGATTTCAATCACAACTGTTTAAGCCTATCCAATTTTGAAGTTGCCTCTTTAAATGTAGATTTCTCTTTAATTGTTGTGATTATTGACACACTCTTCAGTCTGTTTATAGCACTTGATTTGCATTATACAATGTCATATACCTAGGAAAAAAGCTATTCATTGTGCCTAGCCTGCATTCAGTTATAGCTCTTTTTAGTACAATGACTTTTAAGAATGTATACAAATACTTTGATATTATTTTTGTTTATTTTTGCAAACAATATCTAATTCAAAACTGAAATAAACCAGCCATTACATTTGTATTTTAATGTTTTATGATTAAAGTATGTTAATAGCTTTGTAATTGTTGTAACACATTTGTAGTTGTTGTGTTCCTGTTTACCCTGTGCATATAACTATGGTGAATACTTTATTTTGTGCATTGTTTGGGTGTAACTGTGTTGTACCACTTTTTCATATATTAATATTTGATTAATTAGGTGTTACTATGGTGACATTTTATTATTTGCACTGGTATTTGATTGTTTGAAGTTAACCATGGTACACCTTTCATTTAATGTATTAGTATATGATTGGTTGAAGTTATATTCTATTAAAATCACTTGTTATGATTTTAGTTTATACCAATTGTAATAAACCTTTTTCATAATATGCTAGTTAATGATACTGTAGTTTCTTATAATTTTAAAGAGATTATTTATGATTGATTTATTTACAAATAATATCTGTACTTACATAACTTATGATACAAATTTTTCTGTAGGTAGCAGTGCCAACCACAATTCATTGTGATCACTTAATTGAAGCTCAAGTTGGAGGAGTTCAAGATTTGGCACGAGCAAAGGTTTGTTGCTACATAGTTCATGCTTAACTCAAAACTTCAAAGGTTTGTTACTTGGAAAACATTGTGTTTAACTTTTCTTTCCTAGCAAAAACTTAATACTTGTCTTACACAACAACATTTAATTAAACACTGTATCAGTTGAACATTAGACACTATAGTGCTTTAAAACTTCTTAAGATGTAATCCCTCATCTGTTGTCATAAGATGTAGAGACAAGACAAAGTTGAAAGGAATGCTGGCTATGGGTGAAGTATGTTGAGGGACATCACACAGGATTGCTACAGTAATCATAAAGACTGGCTTGGGTTACCCCAAAATGTCCTGGCTAATAGGGCTCTGGTGAAGCTGTGACAACCTAATAAGCTGACATTGGATTTTTGAATGCTCAAAGGAAAACAAAAGGATATATATGGGGATATGAAATGTAAATGTAAAGGATGATGAATTCAAACAAGAGTCAGAATTGCAACTTGAAACATCTATGTATTGAACAATATAGAAAAAGATTGTTGAATCAGAAATACAAAATCAAGCTGCTAGCAGTATCAAACTCAAAAAAGATGTCAGGTAGTACATGGAGATAACACTTATGTGTACTGGAGTTGAACAAAAAGACAGAGCAAAACATGAAACAGATTTCATACTGTATCTGAACGATATGTTCTAGAATGATGTATTTTAACCATCGGTCTGCAGGCCTGCACGTTTGTCACAACCACATTGCCTGTCCATGGGATTCAATGAAATCAAACAAAAACTGACAGAATATTCATATTTAAATTGTTAAGGTTTTTCATCATAGTTGCATTTTAGTGGTCACTGACAATTTAGGAAGGCAGCGAGCTGGTCCTTAGTAAGGAAAAGATTGAGAAATGCTGTTCTAGAAGTAGCATACATGTCAGAAAGACTTATCAAAGAAAGGATTAAAAACAAAGAAAAAACATTCCTTCATACATACAGTCTGGCAGATATGCTAAATGAAATTAAGTAAGAAGATGAAGTAGTTGTTATGGGAGATTTCAATAGGAAACCTAGAACAACAAGATCACGATGGGAGGAACACCAAGGATTTCTTATAGACAGTGAAACAGAACTTTACTCCTGGAACTGTACACACAAGGACCTTTTATTATCAACACATCTTTCCAACATTGGCAGAATCAAATGGCTACTTGGTATACAAGTGGAATGACTTACGTTATAGCATCACAAGTAAATTACATTCTGACTAGATTGACCATAAGAAAAATCATCATTGATGTAAAAATTATTCTTAACATATACATAAACACTGATTATAGGACATCTTACTAGACAACATAAGAGCTTTGTATAAAAGTAGCAGATGCACTGTCAGAATATCAAGTGGACTGACAGATTGGATAGACATAATGTTTATTGTGCATCAAGGGTGTGTCCTGTCACTCCTACTCTTTATATATATGAACCAGTTCACAAAAGAAGCATATTTAATGCTAGAAAAAATCAATTAAATCATATTTACAGATGATCGGGCCTTGTTTGAGAAAGATAAGAAGAAACTCCAAGACCGTCTTCATAAACTAAACACACAATGCAAGAAGTATAATATGATCATCAGCAAAGACAGAAACAAGCTTTGGGAAAACAACAAGACAACTACAACTGAATAGTGAGGATAGCCAACTGAAGCAAAATAAGGAGTTCAAGTATCTTGGGAACATCTTTAGTGAAGATGGCAAGTTAGACAGAGAATAGGCCTGGTGGTTAGGACACTCATCTTGTAATTTGCAGGCTGTGGGTTTGAATCCTCATTGCTGAACATGCTTGCCCTTTCAACTGTGAAGATGTTATAATGTGATGGTTAATCACTCTATTTGTTGATAAAAGAGTAACCCAAGAGTTGGCAGTGGGTGGTGTTGATTAGCTGCCTTTCTCCTATTTTATTACTGCTCAATTAGGTATGGCTAGCACAGATAGCCCTCATGTAGATTTGTACAAAATTCAAAATGAACCAAACAAAATAGACAGAGAGATATAAACCAGAACCCAGAAAGTAAACAGTGTAACCGATCAGATGTCCCCATGCAGTCCCATTAAGAAATTCCTTAAGAAATGAAGAAAACACTTATCAACATCATATTTACACAAACATATCAATGCCAGACATGGACTGTCAGTAAGAGAAGTGAACAAATTCCTAGTTAAAATAAGTAATGAAACAATTAGACAAAGCTTGAAGTAAGGTAGTACTGAAACATATAGAGAAGTGGAGATCGAAATAATTCAGCCACTTGGTGTGAGTGAGTCCAGAGCAGCTACAAACAAGATCATATAATTTACAACTACCAAGAAATAGAGGCAAAGTAAGACCAAGAAAACTTCAGATAAATGATGTCAAAGAAAGAGCTAAAAAATACGAGATTAACAACTGCTGAAATTTCACATTTTGCACTGGAAGGATGCTTGCATCTACTCGAATGCTGAAAGGCATAAGTGGAGGATAAAAGAAAATATGCTTTAAAATATGCGAGTGTAAAGTAATTCGTAATTCATATCTTTATACCACACAAGTCTTGACTTTCACTTTCTTGTGAACTTGAAAGTTTCTAGCTTATTTGCTATAGTTGGGACCAACTGGGACCAACCTCATAACCATTTTGTGCTTGTTATAATTTTTATGCTATAACTTTTAAATTAGTAAGCAAATGTTAGCAAAATTTGACAGATTATCAGTAAACATTACAATGCTTTCATATGCAAAATATAAATTTTTTAATAAGTCTTAAGGTGTGTAAAGCAATGTTTTTCTCGTGCCTTTTTTTCTTTTTTATGTGTTACCTATCTATAATGCTAAGTAATTTTAATTTTAAGACTAAAAATACTTTTATGCATCAGAAAATTTTCAAACTTAACACGCAAAATCTTTATGATGTCCAGATAGTTATGAAACATTTGTTAAGAAAAAACTTGATACTTTGTCTTTTATTTTCCATAATTAATCTTTTTACGAGTTTGGTAGATTTGACAGATCTCATAACCACCATAAAAAATGAGGAAATAAATATAAATTATGCCTCTTTCATTCTAAAATGAACACAGATTCTAACACGAAAACATAAATGTTTAGACTAGATAGCTTAAATCTCATAACATTATACATTTATATATATCTATTATTTTTATAATATTGACCTTATTGTAATATCAACTGTAACAAAAACAATGAAACAATATTAAAAATTACAATTGTGAATACCCTTTTTTCCTAGAATGACTGAAGATTGTAACAGGCAATTGCAATTTTTAGTCTAACACAGATCCAGTTTTTTAAATGTTTCACTTCTGTTTGAATTTAGTTTTATTGTTCTACAATGACCTTTAGATCCTACCTAATGATGTCATAGTCAATTAACCATAATGCGAGAGCATAACATAAACAAGTGATCAAGTTTCAATCACATGACACAGTTAGCTCAAGCTGGTCTTGTGAATTTTTTTCATGTACTTTATTTTTCATACACATTTTGTTACCTAACCTAATGCCCAGCATGGCCAGGTGGTTAGGGCACTCGACTCGCAATCTTCAGGTTGTCGGTTCAAATCCCCGTCACACCAAAACATGCTCACCTGGTGTCTGGACTAGGAACGCCAGTCCTACTCCCGGATACTCACCTCCAACAGAAGTTGGAAGTGTGAGAAACACCATATGAAGCTACTACCTAACCTAATAAGTTTATAATTTTTACATTTCAGGAAGTTTTGTTAAATAAATATACATAAAAAAACAAGAAGTTTAAGACCTACCTAAGCAACTAAGCTTATTTGTATTTGAAAATATATTTCAATATGATTACTTTTTTCACACTGTGTATTCAATATATTGCTTTCAAATTTGCATTTTATAGCACAAAAACATATCAGATACTAGAATAGAATGTCCAAAAAGTACTATAATTTAACTGACTTTCTAGCTAACCTATAATTAGGTGAAAGAATTAATTTACTTCTTGGGGCAGTGACGTTTAGTCAACAAGATTTTCTTCCAAGTTACTGGCTTTGAACAAAATAGAAAATCATCAGGTTCTGTAAGAAAAATTAAAATGTGGAATTCAGAGAGCAGATAGTCACATGACATAAGGAAGTCAAGAATGAGATTTAAATATTTGCTTTTGAAATTAGAACATTAGAATTTATGTGATATAAAAATTTGAATTATAAACAGTTTTGGTGCCAAACTTATTGATATACATTGATTATAAAGTAGTTTAATTAAATTGTGAAGGTAACTCTATAAAAAGGTCATGATGTGCTCTTTGATCTACTTGTATCCAGAGGGTTAATATTTATTTGGTTGTTAAGTCAGTTAAGTGTTCCATCCTGTGGTTCCAAATATGTTAGATAGAGTTGTCCTTATTTGCCAGTAAAATTTCAGGTTAAAAATTCTAAAACTAATTTTGTTCCAACGTATTAAAACTTCATGTCAAACTTCATCCATTTTTGGACCGTATTTAGAGGTTGTTCAATGAGATTGAAGTTCTAGACTGCAGTGGCTTGGGTACCTTATGTATTATAACTGATTTATTTAAAGTATATTATTATTTTATTTCATATACAAAGTATAGTTACTAACATTGTTATTGTTTCCTTTATGCTGTTAGGAAAGCATCTTCTATTATTCTGCAAATTTAAAGGAGGAATTTTTTCTCTTTTTATTTATTTGTCATGATGGAATTTTACTCCTCAGTAAGAGACATACCCCTTTTGGTATTGTAGTTTACCACATTAAAGTGTTCAATTGTCTGTAGTGCCTCCCTGAGCATCCATGATTTGGGGTCATAATCCAGGAATCCGGAAAAAGTCTGTTGTGTTATTTGTAAAAAAATCTTCAACTGGCACATCCTCAGACCTTCTGGTATTCAGCCAGATGTGCTTTTAAGGTTCATGCATGCTTTCCATCTCATTTAGTGCCTTTATCATTGCTCATTTTGTCTCTGTGGATACAGCTAAATTGAAGAAATGCCAAACCAATGTGTTTCTCATTGAGATACCATAGATGTTTGGCAGATTTGTGACAGGTAGATTTTGAAAGAGCAGAATTTACCTTCTTATACTTAATAAGACATTGTAGGAAGTTAAGATCAATGCAAAGAGTAGAAATGGTATCATGCCCTAAGATAGACTCTAACAATAAAGATGCAGATGTCACGGAGTCTTTCCTCATGATCAGTAAGCTGTCCCATACATATCCAGGTCTTGAGGGTATATAATACTTTGGCCAGCCATTGTGCATTATACAGTGCTCTAGGTGCTATAAATCACACTCTGTGAGGAAGAATGCCCCCAGAAAGATTGTGACTAGTTCAAGAAGCTATTGGTAATCATCTCTAGGTTGGCCAACCAAAAGTTGTCTTGTAGCAAGCTCAATGACACTGTCCTTAACTTCCTCTGTGGCTTCTGCTACCTCATCATGATCAGCTATAGTGTCATATTTTGACTGGTCCATGTATTCCCAAGATTGCTGGAGTTTATTGAAAATTGCTATATCTGGATTAGAGGAAAGTCCCATAAAGTCTTTGAAAACATATGCCAGGACAAGTTCTAAGATATTATGCCAGCATTCCAAATGCTGAAGATTCTTGTTTAATTTTCGTCCTAACAGCACACATGCTCCATTTCTGTGACCAGCATTGCTTGCTGTGTTTACAAGATCATTGACTCCCACACTTCCAGCAAATGTGCCACAGCAGAAGCATGAGCTTCTCTAGTGCTAGAAACCAATTTTGGAACATCTAGGAGTTGGTTTATTCCTGCTCGAGATAGGATCTCTGGTAGACAGTCCAGTTATTCTGTAACGAGCTTGCTATCCCAGTGAATTACTAGTGAGACTGTTGGCTTGAGCTGTTCCTTTAATTTTTGATGGTTAGCTCCTGTGCATCATCACCAAGGCTGTAAACTGTGGCAGTAAGGACAAATGCTACCTTTCTGTCATTCAGCTTGGTTCTGTTCATAGCTGCTGCTAAGTCGGGAATGATAATATTTCTTCTTGCCCTAATTTCAGATTTAGAAGATGATGATTCTGCAGTTGCTCCTCTATCCTTCTATGGGATGATTCTCAACAACTGACAGTTTCATTCAAGGTTCGCTGTTCCTACTCTGCATGCTGTTTCCTCTTCATACTTGCCTCATCCCTTTATTCATAATTGTGTGTCCTGTATTCCAGTCCATAGTACATAATTTAAAAAAATGTAGAACAAATAAGAAGACTATTGCCATTTTTTCTATTGAAAAATCTAACTATTGTCCACAAACAAAATATTTTTCATGTCTTCAGAAATTTAATTTAGGTTAGTAGTTTATTTTTTTATATAAAAATAAATGTACTTTAGAGGTTTTTGATAAAAGTTTTAAATCACAGTTTGTTTTCTTTTAATTAAACTAAATTTAGGCTCTTCACAAAGAAGTTTACAGTTTTCTTAAAACAGCAGCAGCAAAATATGGAGTTGGGTTTTGGAACCCTGGCAGTGGAATTATTCATCAGGTAACTAACAAAACTATCACTTTATAATTGTTCTCCTAATTTAAAGTTTCAGTTGTTCTCATATTCTTAGCTTCAAGTTTATCAAAAATAAAGTTTACAGTGCAGTTATGGTTCTTCAATGTAACTTGTTTATTCCTTAACAAACTGTGGTTTATAATAACATATTAGAAAGAAATGCTAGAAAAAAGAAATAAAATTAAGTAGTTCAGGTTCCACAGTATACTTTTTTTATTCTCTGAGAACTGTAGTTTATAATAAAATATTAAAAATGGTTAAATAATTAGGTAATTAGGTCAGAGTCAGCTGCAGTGTGATAGTTACATGATTCAAATAGGAGTTTCCCTGGCATGAGAGGTTAAAATTAAAACCAATTTCCAATTGGTAGTTTGATACTTTACAATATCCCACACATCATCTTTCCTTGTTGTTAAAAGTGATGTTAAACCATCATTAATATGTTACAAAAAATTGGTTGAATTTTTGTATACAAGTTTCTATAAATTAATAGATTACATTTATTTAGGTATATTATAAGATGATAAATTCCCATACGATATCTTATTTCTTTTCACATAATAGCTTTTCTCATTCAGTGCTTCCCTCTATATGCACAAATTTTCACTCCCCACTAGCCTTGATACTCCCACCTACATCACTTGTTTAACATGGTACAGTTGGATTTTGGCATGTAAATAATCATGTGAAAATCCTCCACCAATAGAAACATGAAACACACTCCAATCATAGCTGGCTCCCTCTATACTGTTGGCCTGGTATGGCCAGGTGTTTAAGGCGTTCGACTTGCAATCTGAGGGTTGTGGGTTCGTATCCCCATCCCACCAAACATGCTTGCCCTTTCAGCCATGGGGGCATTATAATGTGATGGTTAATCCAACTATTCATTGGTATAAGAGTAGCCCAAGAGTTGGTGGTGGGTGGTGATGACTAGCTGCTTTTCCTCTAGTCTTACACTGCTAAATTAGGAATGGCTAGTGCAGATAGCCTTCATTTAGCTTTGCGCGAAATTCAGAAACAAACTATACTGTAGAAGCTAACCTTCACTTTCTGATTTGGCACAGTAGAGTGCAGACTTTTTGAAATTTCACTTGTGTTTTTTTAGTATTTTGCATTAACAGTTTAATTTGTTAAACAACTTTCTAGTTTTAAATATCAATTTTTATTTGTTTCTACAGTGAAACTCGATATTGTAGGTTGATATTTCATTATCCATTCTCAGTTGAACTTTAATTTCTGAATTTCAGTTCACAACAACTACATTGTCACAATTGTTGCCTAGGTACCTATTTTAATGCAATGTTTCATATTTAAACAAATTTTTATCACTCAATATATTTTGCTCTATGAAGGTTCTGGTGAAAGAGGTGAAAGTTTGCAAATAAATATATTTTAATGTAGAGAAAAGTTTGTGTATAATTCTACTTATTAATTTATTTATGAGTCTTTAAAAAGAAAACAACAACTGCTGCTACTTCCTTTTTTTTTGGGAACATCTATAGGAAAATTCTGATTTGGATAGCCTATTTCCTCCTCCTTCCTTTCCTACGCAATCCTGTTTTCCTACTATTGAAGCTCCTAGTCTGTTTTTAGCCTTCCTAGATATGGTGTCACAGGTATGTTACCTTTCGTCTGTATCCCCTGTGTCTAATAATTCCTCCTCTTCCCTCCTGAATTCTGCTTATTCCTTGGATTAACTTATCTTTTTCCATCTCTAGAGGTCTGGGTACATATGAACCTGTTTATTGCACTATTAAATTCTGGGATCAGCATACCTCAGATGTTTATGAATTATTGTAGCATCATTTTGATTTTCCATTTATGGACTCTCAGATCTTGGAGTTTTTGATTCTGGTATAGGGATCTGTCCCTGATACCATTGTGAAATATTTTCAAGGCCTGAATTTCTCTGTTTGATCCTAACCAACCTCCTACATTACCTCTCTTCTATCCATTTCATAATTATGGCTACCCACTGCTCCTCTGTGGTGTTGTTGGAGGATAGTTGCTCCATCACGTATTCCACATTGTTGCTCATATCCCCCCCCCCTTCCCTACATTCTTGGCTCCTCTGTTTTTGGGACATCCTGGGTGGGTATGCACTTTTAACTAATATGCACCTGCCCATGTCTTATTTCTAGGTCCTTCCTTTCCTCCTAGGTCTCTTCCTCCATGGCCTTCACCTACTTCCATTCTTGTTTTCTCTCCTTTACCCTTCTATCCCTTTCCCTGTTATCTTCTCCCAGGTCTTGGTGGCTCATTATCAAATTACTCCTGCCTCCAACAATACTTTTAACTAGGCATGCATGGGAAGTAAAATTTGGCCGAATACCAAGTCTGGGTTACCCGGTCACTAAGCTTCAGCCTGGGATGGGTGTCAACTGGGACCTAGTTCCCCTCTTGCAAAAATATACAAAAATTAGAAACAAAAACAAAATTGATGTTTATTATATTTAACCGAATAATCACCAACAGAACATTCAAGTTTTACTTGCAACTTTCAATACCTAGCCCCAACTTCTCAAACCCTAACCCCTATTGTACTCAAAACCCCCACCTTCACAAGAAATCCACTTCTAAAGCCATGCCTGTTATTATCCCCTATTGTTCTCTGAATCCCCAATTTTCAGCAGGTGGTCAGTCTTTAACAAAACCAATTATTGACTGTAACTTTCAGTACTATGTAAATTGGCACAAAGATTAGGGCTTAGATGCCTAACTTTGACACTCGGCTCGAGCCGAGTATTACCGGGTAGCCCAATACCTGGCTGGGGCCGAATATCTGGCCAAGTACCCGTACATCCCGACTTTTAACTATACCATAGGTTCTGGCAAGTTCAGAGCACATTTGGCCCAACTTTATGCATCTATGATGAGATTTCACTTCACCTCTGATCCCCACTTTCCATTCCTTTTCCTCCTTTTCAGGATCCATTTTCTTACCAGCATCTCTCAAAAATATTTTGGACTATTCTTTTCAAGGACACTACATTATCCACTTGAGAGGTTCTTCAACTTTTATGTCTGTCCTTCTTTCCATCTCCTTCCTCAAGTTTTATCTATCCTCATGGTGGTGGACCATGAAGGCATCCTTCTGAGTTTGCTCAATCCCATTTGGTTCAGAGTTAAGGTAGTGGTGTTCTGTCTGTGTAGAGGGTGTGAACCCACCTCCTATTGTGGACTAGAAGAAAAGTATCTGATGCTGCCTGGTTATGGACTGAAGATGATCCACCAAAATGCAGTTCACCCCTCTAGCTGGGACCCCTCATCTTATTGTCATCTGGATGTTGGTTCCCAGGTGGTCTGGTGTTGGATCCTGCCAACATAACTGCTCGCATGTGGTTGGTAGAGAGCCCTCATCTTACTGTAGACTATAAATTCCCAAAGCTGCCAGGTTTTATATTTGAGTGAACCACTACATTGCATTTTCCCTTCCTACCGTCGCCCGGATGTTGGGTTCTAGGTGGCCTGGTGTTCATTGTGTAATAGAATTGCAGAACAGAACCTGTTTTCCCTTCTTCTTCCTCGTCTTGAGGGGAAAATGGTAGGGACCCTCCTCCTACCACAGACTGAACGATAAGTGTCCTAAGCTGCATGGTTTGGCCTGGACTTGACCCACTGAATATGGTCTGATGCATGCTAGCCAATCTACACCATTTGGCACATCCAATTGAGTATTTGATGTGCTCCTTTCCACCTGAATTAGCAATACAGGCTAATTTCACAACAGGCAAAGAGTATACTTGGTTCAGATGTGTTTCAGTCTCCCACGGGTGTGTTCTTCAAACACTTTCTGAAGGGTGCTCATTTAGGTACATTTTGCATCAGTCCCTCCACCATGTCAATGTGGGATTAGCTATTATATCAGATGAGGTAAGGTATCATATCAGGAGTTAAAATTTTCCTACACTGAAAATTAATTTCCGATAGATACTTACCTCTTCTCACACATCCCACTCTACCTTTTTTCTTTTTTGCCTAATCTTGAAGTGAAGATTGAATTCTACAGCATATAGAGAGGCAGCTGCAACAGGTGAGTGTGTCATGCTCTTATTGGTGGAGGTTGGCACATGATTATTTGCATGCTACAACACAGCTGTACCAATTTAAACACATGGTGTAGGTGGGTGTACCAAGGCTAGTGGCAAGCAAAGCATTTGTGCATATGGAGGGCAGTACTGAAGGAGAAAAGCTATTACGTGAGAAGCAGTAACTATCTATAGGAAATATATTTTCAGAGTAGGAAAATTTTAACATCTATAGCTTATTGAATAGCCAATTTTAATTATTCATGTTTGATAATGAGGCAATAGAGGTTTGTAAAGAAATATAGAAGAAATGTAAAAACTTTTTCAAGTACCGTTGTATAATCTCAACCTACTGATGCTAGTCATTAAAACTTTTAAATGACAAGATTTTGATTATTTCTATTCAGCATTCTTGTATGTTTGATTAATTCATTTGTACTTAAATATATGCCATCATTAATAGTATTCATTCTTGGTTTTTTATGAACCATTCCTGCACAGATTATCTTGGAGAACTATGCTTTTCCAGGGGTGCTGTTAATTGGTACTGACAGCCACACACCAAATGGAGGTAAAACTGTAACTTTTGAAAAAGACTGTAGTGGTTTGACTTATGTAGTACTTAAAAAATAAGTATATGAAGCCAACAACATGATTATGGGATTTAAGATAATGCTTTTGTAATAATTGTAAAAAAAATGAGAGATGTGAATAAAATATTATTTGAGTTACCCAGTATTTAATTTTACTGATACAGTGATTTGAAAACACAGGTGGCCTAGGTGGTGTGTGTATTGGTGTGGGTGGAGCTGATGCTGTTGATGTCATGGCCAACATTCCATGGGAACTTAAATGTCCTAAGGTTATTGGAGTCCATCTGACTGGTAAAATATCTGGATGGACCTCTCCTAAAGGTAATTGTATAGTCTTTTTTATGATTAAGAAATTCCTTTTTTGTAATCTTAAAGGTAATTACAAAATTTGTTATTTAATTTTTGTTTATTTATTTAAGAATGCTAAAAAATGTGTGTGGTCTTAAGTGTTATTTTTCTCTTACAGATGTGATACTTTGGCAGCTTATATTTTAAGTGTTAAAGGAGAGATTAAGACTGTTGTAGAATGCTACTTTTCCTTTGCATTTGTAGTCCTTAAGGAGATTGATATTTTAAGTTTTAAGAGAGGAATAGAGGGGAAAGCACTTTATAGAATTTTACTTTTCTATTTAATATGCAATTCCCAAGGTAGTTGGTATTAAACATGATAAGAGAGAAAAGGAAACTACAGTACAATGTTACTTTTCTCTTCCAGTTGTAATCCTTAAAATAACTGATATCTTAACTGTTAATGGAAACATTGAAGCTATTCTTGAATGTTAATTGTTTCTTGTTACAGATGTAATCCTTAAAATAACTGATATCTTAACTGTTAATGGAGACATTAAAGCTATTCTTGAATGTTAATTGTTTCTTGTTACAGATGTAATCCTTAAAATAACTGATATCTTAACTGTTAATGGAGACATTAAAGCTATTCTTGAATGTTAATTGTTTCTTGTTACAGATGTAATTCTTAAAATAACTGATATATTAACTGTTAATGAAGACATTAAAGCTGTTCTTGAATGTTAATTGTTTCTTGTTACAGATGTGATCCTTAAGGTAGCTGATATTTTAACTGTTAAAGGAGGAACTGGAGCTATAGTAGAGTATCATGGACCTGGAGTTGAATCAATATCTTGTACAGGTAAATATCAAGTATTTTTCTACTAACTATTTTATTCTGTTTATTTAATAAAATTCATCACCATATTTACATTAGGTTTCATAGTTTATATTTGAACTAATCACTAATTATCTTCTAGTAGTTTCATTTAAAAACAAAAATTTTCTTCTTTAATTCAAACTATACACAGTGATGATTAAGTGTAATGTGTTTTATGCATGTATAGATGGCAGCACTTTCTTATCACCCATTGATAGTTGGATCAAACCGACCAAAACTTATAATAATGGCAGTTGTGTGCCCATTAAGATGCAAATAGTTAACTGTCAACTGCATACCATACTGTTGTGAAAGGTGTATTAGACTGTAAACAATTCAAACAGTTTAAATTTTATTTTGAGGGTGCTGGTTCATCAATGAAATTTTCATTTCATTTTAGAACTAAATTTTGGTGTTGTTAGTCTTTCTACATCATTTAATTTCGGAATGCTACTTATATAAGTATTAAAACTGTAGTAGTGCCATCTTATTATTTTGGACAGTTTTAACATTCTAGAATTGTTGCTTATGTTAATTTTACTTTTTTTAAATGTATTTTTAAAATTGAGATTTTTTTCAGTGTGTTGTAAACCTGTAGTTGTATTTATTTAGTCCTCCCCCACCTCAATTTCACTCAAACTGGAATATATTTGGTAATTTGTTTTTACTTATATGTAGGAATGGGGACCATCTGTAACATGGGTGCTGAAATTGGAGCTACTACATCTGTGTTTCCATACAACCCTAGGATGATTGACTACATGGTAGCTACTGGAAGAAAAGGTTTTTTTTATTGCTTGTCATGTGTAATTTTGTAATTATTGAGTTAACTTGAGATATTACATTCTGAAGTTAACAGTTATTTATTTCAATTTTTAGAACACTTAATAAGAGAAGATTGTTTATTGTACATATTTTAAAGGTCTCTGTTTTGCATTTTGTAAAATTCATCAGATTTTTCACGAAGATGACTTGAAAATTATTTTTTCACTTTTTATAAGCAGCTTCTTTACTTGGTGAGAATGAAATACTGGAAGTAATATTTTTCCAATTAATTGTTTTTAAATCTAGAAATAGCAGATTTGGCTGATCAATTTTCTTTTCTGCTGACGCCTGACAAGGGATGTGAGTACGACCAACTTGTAGAAATCAACTTGGATGAGGTTTGTGCATATTTAAGATAACTGTATGAAACAATCTTATTCAGGTTATTTGGGAAACAACCTAAATAAGATTGTTTGGAAAAGTATACACAGAAAATCCATTTGCTGTAATGGGTATTGTGAATTTAACAAACTTCTATGAATTTAAAATTGTAAGTGATTGTTGTACAAGTACTGGAGTTCACCAACTTAATCTAGTTCACACCAAAACAGTTGTTATTCAAGTACTTGATGTGTAAATAGCTTTTTGACCACTTCTATGTTTGTCATATCCCAACTGGCCTGACAAATTCTGGTATTAAGTAAAAAAGTCTTGTCAACACCAGATATAGTGTGGTTGAGATATTGTTACATTTTTTCTTTACTTTCACATAGAAGTTTGTGTGTAATAAACGTCCTTGAAATTAAAGCTTGTTTTGATTAAGTGGTTTGGACAACAGAGGAATAAATTAACTTGAGTTTATTGATTATATTGTATAATGAACACATTAAAAGACATTGCCAGTGTTTTATTTTTTAACTGATTTTGTCATTACAGTTGGAACCTCATGTCAATGGACCCTTCACACCAGACCTTGCTCATCCTATCTCTAGGTTTGGGAAGCAAGCCAAAGAAAATGGATGGCCATTGCAAGTTAAAGTTGGTAAGTATAAGCTAAAGCTTTATTAAGCTACAACAAATTAATAAAATATGAATTATCTGATTGTTTAGTGTCACAAGTAAGACCTAGTCATTGATTTTTTTTTGTGGTGGATTGAGCATTGCCTAGTGGTTAGCTTGCTTAGACTGTGAATCCAAGAATTTGTGATTTAGTGGCCCACTGATGCAAAATCATTCTCCATGTTATGGAACCATAAGTGAATTTAAGAGTGACATTCAAATCCAGTACTCATTCAAACAAGTATAGCCCATGAATTGATGATGGGTGCTGTTGATGGTTTCTTTCCTCTAATCTGTCAGTTCAAGATTAGAAGGATGGTTATGTGCCCAGATATCCCTTTGTATAACTTTGCACAAAAATTCAAAATTTCCAATAAATAAAAGAAAAAAAAATATCATGAGAAGAATGTTTTTGCATGTTTTTTTGTCCATATTTTTTGTCATTAAGGCAGTATTCCTCAGTGTATTTACATTTAGTACAATAAAGGCCATCATAAGTGTTGGTTTCGTTAGAGTTTTGTTCGGTTTCTTGTGCTTCTAAAAACATTTATGTTTTCTTTTTTTTAAATGAGCTAAAAATACTTCCCCAACCCACCCCCCAGGGAATTTTCTTAAGACATTATGTTAACACATTCTTTAAGGTTTAATTGGGAGCTGTACCAACAGTAGCTATGAAGACATGGCTCGAGCCAGTAGTATAGCACAACAAGCCCTGAACTATGGACTAAAATCCAAATCCAAATTTACGGTCACCCCAGGCTCTGAACAAATCCGTGCTACCATTGAACGTGATGGCCAGGTAGGTGTTTTATTTACCTTCCCTAAAATGAAATGATGAACAGAAATTTAACATTATCAAGACTTCAAGGATGTCAAGGAAAAATACGGTATACTGTGTAAATGTTTTAGGGATCAACAAGGATCACAGTCAGTTTTGTGATAGAAAAGGTTACTACTTTGTTACTGAGTTGTCCTGAATATGATCTAAACTATTTAAATACAAAATTTTTTATGGTTCACTTGAATGATTTTGTGACATCTAATAGTTTTCATAACCGAAAGTAAGTAATTTATTAACGTAAGCTTATCACAGTCCTGAAAGTGATAAGTTAACTTCAGCTGTAGTGAAATAGATCTTTTCTCTCCCTATTGCCATTAGACAGGCCTCAGTGACAGCTGATTTAATATTTAAGCTAAGCTTGTTTATCTGAAGAATTCATGCTTTACTTTATTTGTATAGTGTAAAAATATTACTAAACCATAATATTTACAGGTAATAAAGTGTGAATAAAAGGCATGTTTCAAGATATGCTAACAACTGAATAAAGTGTGTATGCAGTTCAAAACAAATTGTAAGTTTGTATTTATCACTATTTTGATTCCTACAAACTAAATTTTAATTATTGTTTTTCTTTGTTTTTAGGCTAAAGTATTGCGAGAATTTGGAGGTGTTGTATTAGCTAATGCTTGTGGACCTTGCATTGGACAATGGGATAGGTTTGTGTTATGTTTCATCAAATTCATTGATTCTATTTCTTAAAATTTAAAGTATGTTGTTTTTCATCTTATCTTGAGGCTAAGACCAGACACATTGTTATTTTTTGTTTTGTTTAATAAAATGTTAAGTACATGTATAATATTTATTTCAAAGTAAAGTATGAAATCAGTAGCATACTAAGGTATATGTGCATACTTTCGTAAACAATATATCATTGCTAAACAAAGATTGTAGATATCTCTTACACTACTTTTACAGGAAAGATGTTTCTAAAGGTGTTAAAAACACCATTGTTTCATCATATAACCGGAACTTCACTGGACGAAACGATGCCAACCCTGCAACCCATGCTTTTGTAGCATCACCTGAACTTGTTACTGCTTTGTCTATTGCAGGACGACTAGATTTCAACCCACTAACTGATGAGTTAACTGGAAGTAAAGGTATGTTATTAAATTTTTAAAAAGTATTCAAGAATTGGATATGGTTTTTTACTCATTTTGCTAGAATTGTATTACTACAGAGTTATTTCATATACCTATCTTCTGTTAAACTTTAAGCATTAAATCAGTATTTGGAAATTTTCAGGAGAAAGATTTAAGCTAGAAAGTCCACAAGGTGACACCTTACCATCTCAAGGGTTTGATCCAGGTCAGGACACCTATCAATTTCCACCAGAAGATGGGTCTGACATTGATGTGGATGTTGACCCCAAGAGCCAAAGGTTGCAGTTACTTGAGCCATTTGATAAGTGGGATGGCAAGGACCTAACAGACTTGCTAATCCTGATAAAGGTATAGGTTTTACTTGTAAATTTTTATTATGCAGACATTCTCTCAAACTGCTCAATTGTCAATAGTGCAGTATTATCAACCATACACCTGGAAATGTGAAAGATTGCTGTGATAATAGTAATTTGGAATTTCGTAAATATTATCACTTGGCCAAATTTATATTCTTGACTGAAAACAAAAATATTGATATAATGTATTGTGGGAACAGAAAATATAACTAAAATAAAAGGATAAAGTAAAATTTACCACAAGTATATGTATGTAAAAACAAAAGGAAAATGTACTAAAAAGCTAGTTTGTCAGAAAATGGAATAAAGAAAGTAAAAAATATTCTTTATCAAAATAATTTTCTTCTCATTTTTTCTCTATTTCATTAATTCGTTGCTAGTTTTGGACTTGTTAATTTTTGTCATATTTTAAGTTTTTTGTTTATTTTTTTAGTATGTGTACTCTCCAAGATGATACTCATCTCTACACACAGAAAGCTATCTTCCCTGTGCATCTGCCTTAGAGATTTGCTGCCACTACCCTTGAGGCAACTCCACCTAAACACTCAACATTTCTCATGATTTGTGCTACTGCATAAAGATGTTATTAGGCAGTAAAAGCCACCCATCAATAGGATGGTGACACAACCTTCTTACACATTAGCTTGCTCTATGCTTTTGCACTCATGATCTTCATTATTTTTCCTCAGTATTAAACATATGAGACATGTTTTTTTTTTTTTTTTTACTGCAAATTTACCAAGATTTGCAGTCAATTAAGGGACATTGTTTCCTTTCTTCTGAATATGAACTCTCATGCTCGTGTAACTTCCACTTGTATGAATGGGGAATAACCTCACACTAGTTAAGTTTGAAACTTGGCTACTGGAGGAATGTTAAACGTGGATGATATGATGACCATCATGCATAAGGTAATGGGTTCCATTATGCAGCAGGGAGTTTCTGCACCCATCCATTCATCTGGTGTTCCTTCACCTCATTCTGAAAGGGAATATGAAGAGGAAGACAACTTTGACCATGTTTCTTTCTCCAGGTTTGTGTTAAGAACCTCTCTTGCTGTTGGGGAGAATTTTCAAACTTCCTCACATTATCAAAACCTTATAATTCAGGTATGTTTTGTTCTATCTCTAGTTGCTGTGTCATATGACACTTCCCATTCCCTCCTTCATAATCCTATCTCTAAAGAATTTTATGTTTTTGCCCCATCTTCCCATTCCCTCCTTCATAATCCTATCTCTAAAGAATTTTATGTTTTTGCCCCATCTCCCGGCATTGGTGTTCGTGTGACTTCCTTTTTAGATCATATGCCTACAATCATATGCCTTGTCCCCCTTGCCTTTTTGATTCCTTTATCATGGATTAAAGTCATTCAGAGTTCCCCTTTCTGGAGTCACAGACCTTGGAGTCTTTTTGCCTGTTTGGGAGGTGGATCCATTGGGATTTGTTTCACTCTCAAGTACCCAATTATTTCGTCCTTGCCTAATCCACCTTTCTGTGCTTTACTTTTTCTCTCCGTACCTCATGTAAGAAGCACTTCCTTGAGCCCCAGATTACTTTGCTGCCTATCCCTGTTCCCTTTTCCTTTCTACCATGGCTCATACTACTTGTTGGTTAGGAAATCCTCCTTTCTTGTGTTCAGCTTCCTTTCTCCTTTTTACGAGACCCCTATCCCACCTCATTTCTTCACCCTTCTGTTTTTAGAGATATTCCTGATTCAACTGAATCATGAGCAGAAGCTGCCTGTCATTGATCCTCATTAACTTGACTACCTCAAACCCCTTATCCCACTCTTGTATCTTGCCCTAGTTCCCCCTGCTTCCTGTATATCATTCCCATCTTCCCATCCTTTTCCTTCTGCTCAGCCATTTTCAGCTGAACATCAGACTTGCTGAGTTCATCATTGAATACAGAACATATTCAGACCTCATGGGGGCTCATCTTTTGTGTTATGCACATCCTTGAGAACAACTCTCCACAGACAGATGGGCTGCTCTTGTTCTCACTCACAGACTCTCCCTCCAAATCTCCTTCCCTCCTACTCAGCTCACTCTCAGTTCACTTCCCTCCTCCTTTGGATCCCATCTATCTTCAATATCTGGAAGATGCTGTGTCAGATCTGTTGGTGTATGACCCTTCTCCAAGGTTTTACTTTTGCCTCTTCATGGTACATAAAAAGACCTGGGATTAGCAAATGTTTATCGACCTTACCTCCCTTAATCACTTCATAGTTGTCCCTCATTTTCATATGGAAAATTTCTTTTCTTTCTGTTGGTTCTTCACCTGGACTATGGATGACCAAGGTTGATATCTCGGATGTATTCCTTCATATTCCCATTGCAGGGGCCCTCCAGTGGCACAGCGGCATGTCTGTGGATTTACAATGCTAGAAGCTGGATTTCAATACCCATGGTGGGCAGAGCACAGATAGCCCATTGTGTAGCTTTGTGCTTAACTACAAACAAACAAAACAAATCCATCGCTGAGTCTTCAAGTTGTTTCCGTCAATTCGTTTATCGGGATTGTGTGATCCAGTTCCAGGCTCTTCTGTTTGGCATTGTGTCAGCTCCTTACATCTTCAAGAGAATGTTAAAGGTTGAGCACAGTTGAGAAACGATTTGAAAAATACTCCCAGGTGAATTTGCTTGTCATCTGCATGGACTAGGTGTTCAATTTCATTATTATTATATCTATGACTGGCTTCTCCTGTCCCACTCATAGGTAGTCTTCCCTTCACACTTCACTTATGCAAGAAGCCACCCTATTTATCGTGACTTGTCAAAAGCTTCCAAATCCTTTCTAACACCCCCCCCCCAAATTCTAATTTCTCAACTGGGCTCAACCTACTCCTATCCACCTACAAGCTTACGAGCTTTCTGTCGCCAGGATACAAGCATCTTCTACTTATGCTCCACAAGAGGTTCTATTGCCTCCTCACCCATTCCCTTTACACTCATTTCTGACTGCTGCTAGATGGGATCATCCAGGCTGGCATGTGGACTACATCTCGCACTTTTGTCAGCCACCATCTTCAACATCTGGCTGTCTTATCTCTTGCAGGCTCTCACCTGCCTCTGCTCACTATTCTGCAGTCTACCCATCATCCTTAGTCAGGTGAACAAATTCTTTCACTCTTTTTTTCTAGCATTGCTTACAGGATCTCGCCAAGTGGCTGGTGATGCCTCCCAGGGTACACTTACTTCTCAAAATTCCACATCAGGCCAGGATAATGGATGGTGCTTATACCATCTTCCCTGGCTCCATAATATGCCCATTGTTGAGATGGGATGTTCCACAAGACCACTTGAGGTATATTCTGATATCTATCTACTGTCTGACCCAGACCATACCTATTCCATGGACTATCATGGAAAAAGCCTTTAGATCTTCCCTGGTTCATGCTTGCTGGATTTTAAAAATAGGTTTATGTGAGAACCCTCACTGACTGTGACCTAAAAACTGGAACTAGAACAATGGATGTCAATCAATAGGAATTGGAGCAGTGGTGACACTGTTATTGTAGCACAAGTCACCTCTCATGTAATTATACCAACAACATGCCAGAAGTACTTCATACAATACTGTACCCTCCTGCGATCATGTTTGTTCAGTAGAGTCGAGATTAGCACACACTACATGCTTAATATTACATAATTAATGACTTGAATTTCTATGCCCTCCTCCTGCAATTGATGTTGGTCCAAGAATCTGCCAATATAGTTGAGAGAAGCATGACTATTAATCTCTGTGCCCTCCTTCCACAGCCTATGTTGGTCTAATAAGTCTGATAGTAGAGTTAAGTTGTGCACTAGGTATGGTCTGAAAGCACCCCAACCACATTACACATATTGGCTCTCCATCCTCTTGTGTACAAGTATTTGGATGGCCATGTTCTTATTCTGACCATACCTGCAACACGTAGGGCTCTTTTGCTTCTTCCTCCCATCTACTCTTGACAAAGAATGTACCCTGGAAGAGATGAGCTGCAGGCTCCCATGAGTGTTCCCTTATGGAGCCTCTGTCATTGGATGTCATACTTCATGGTTTCCTTTGGGAACTTTCTGAAGGGAGCTCGTTTAGGTAAGTTTTGCACTGGTCCCTTCATCATATCAGTGTGGGATTCTAGCTTTCTGTTTGAAGAGGTGTGTATTGTCTCAGAAGTTAACATTTTCCTTACTCAAAAATGTAAATATACTAAGTTAAAAACTATATTATAGAAGTAGACGAGAGAATAAATATACTAAGTTAAAAACTATAGAAGTAGACGAGAGAATAAATTTCTCTCGTCTACTTCTATTAGTTTTTAACTCAGTATATTTATTCTCTCGTCTACTTCTATAGTTTTTAACTTAGTATATTTATTCTCTCGTCTACTTCTATAGTTTTTTAACTTAGTATATTTATTCTCTCGTCTACTTCTATTGTTTTTAACTTAGTATATTTATTCTTTCGTCTACTTCTATTGATTTTAACTTAGTATATTTATTCTCCCGTCTACTTCTATAGTTTTTAACTTAATATGAGAATAAATATACTAAGTTAAAAACTATAGAAGTAGACGAGAGAATAAATATACTAAGTTAAAAACTATAGAAGTAGACGAGAGAATAAATATACTAAGTTAAAAACTATAGAAGTAGACGAGAGAATAAATACATTAACTTAAAAAC